GTTGCTACCTGTCGGCCAATTGGTAGACATTATTTCGTCGGATGAGCTAAACGTACGTACGGAGGAGCAGGTGTTCAGCGCCGTGATGAACTGGGTGAAATACAATGTCACGGAGAGAAGACAACATCTGGCACAGGTCCTGCAGCACGTGCGACTGCCGCTACTCGGTCCAAAATTTTTAGTTGGTACCGTAGGATCGGATCTGTTGGTTCGCTCCAACGACGCTTGTCGAGATCTCGTGGACGAAGCAAAGAATTACCTACTCTTGCCGCGAGAGAGGCCATTGATGCAGGGACCTAGGACGAGGCCCAGGAAACCTACGAGACCTACGAGACCTACGAGACGGGGAGAGGTGTTCGCTGTTGGTGGGCGGTGTTCCGATGACGCTATTGCCAGCGTTGAGAAATTACGTGAAGCCGACGCAATGGTAATAATGACAGAAATTGTATTTGCCACAAACTTCGCAAATAAAATATGTGTAACTACTTTCTATTTCAGCAATTGCATAATTTACGCGTACAACTGAGACATAAGGTACTACCGCAGCATGAGATTGAAACACGAGCCGGGTCTCATATGCCAATGCGGGAGGAAATCGAAGAATTTGAAAGAATAACACCATTGAGGAAAGGCACATATTCTTCTGAAGAAAGTCGGATAATTACTAATAATTGGACAACGTTGTCTAATTATTAATGATTATCTGGCTTTAGAAGAATATGTGCCTCTCTTTATACCCTACGAGACTGAATTTTGCTTCCGAGTTTTTGGCCGCCACCATGCGCGGCCTAGCGGCGGTCGGCGAACTACTCAGAGGCTGGCGCTAGCTACGTCTCGCACTTAGCGAAAATGATTTGTTGCAGTAACTAATTGTAAGATAATTTCAGCAAAAATCGATTTGTTTGATGAACAAAGTAACGATTGCTCTTACACACGACTTCTTTGCTGCATTAGCAAATTTACTTCTTTAAAACGTTTAATTTTGTTCAGCAAACTATAGATTTGCTGAATCAATTAAATCAGTTTTTTCCGTGTCCGTATTTAGTTGAGAGGGTAAAGTTAACTTTAGCCTATGCTATTACGTACTGTTAATAAATGCATTCTCCTATGAGCCAGAAAGAAAATTTTAAATTTGCACGTATCACAAGGAGCGTTATATTTCTGAGCCGCAAAGCATAGAGTTTAGGATTACTTCGTAACAATTGCACTAACCGTTCAACGCTGATAAATTTTGCATGGTGTTGTTGTATCTGCCGATCTCATCTTGTCTCGGAGACGAATAACCGTCGAACGTTCCGTGAAGATTGGCGTTTCGTATACTATTCAAATAATTCGGCTGCTGCTCCAGAATGCTGTAAAGCAACCGCTTAACGTCCGCAAATTCCTTATTTAATTTTTCCTCCAGACTCACGAATTTTTCGTCCATCGCCTCTGAAAGCATAAGAGCACGTTATATGCGCATTGGCGTGCCTCGGGATGCACTAATACTCCGTAGCCATTGAAATGTTCCATACAGCGTCTCAAGATGAACTTGAGACAGTCTTAAATATAAGATCTGACAAGTCAATACTTAATATTAATATTCATATCGTAATTTTATCTTTAACATTATGTTTTATCTTATGTGAACTTGACTTTTACACACTCGCATTGCATACTCCGGTGAGTACTCTTGTAACAGTGGCACGTGCGTTTGCGACCACATCTTCCGTCGCGATCTTGCAAGTGGTATGCTGCGTTTCCGTGGCGTCGTCGCTGCTGACATTGGCCTCAATCGTCGCTAAAAATTGCAATGTGTCGCAGATAAATTCGTACTTTATAATGGACAGCGCGACAAAGAAAATGCGCGCGACTGTGTCAAAGATAGATTATCGGTGAAGGTATTTTATACGTAGCTTCATAATAAAACTGTACTCGTCGAGATTATAAACTTTTCGTACTTCGAAATTAGAAATTGATTATGAAGAGATATAAGAGATTAACAAGATCTTAATTGGATCTTATTCAATTAGTGACATTATCTTATTTAACTTTGTAACTTTTAAAATATGTACGTCTATCGAAAATTAATCCTGTCTCGAGTTTTATTAGTTACACAACACACATTAAGATACAGTTTTTTATTGTGTTTTAACGGGCGTCCAGCGAAAGTTGTTAATCGTTTCGCACTTACGCGTTTTCCGCAAAGATTCACCACTCGCTCCACCGCATGCTAGATAAAGCGAAACGGCACAAAACAGTGATACGGAGAGACGTATGATCTTGGACATTTCGCCGCACGTGAACGACATGTTTTGTGAATTCATCACATGTGGCCGAAATTATAAACAGCAGTGGCTTCCACCCGTCCTTAAAAATAGATTTTATCGTCTTCTCGCCGATGAGGACGCGTCGAAGAAAAATTACGTAGCTGATATAGCGAGACGTGTTTACTTATAAAACATTGCTTCTCATTACACAGCGTGCATATATATACGCATAGAATTTTCGATGCAAATTTAATACTCCTTTTCTATCAATTGTATCTGCATTCAGATTTGAATTTAATAAATGTAAGATATTCAAGTTAAGCTATTTATTATACAAAAATTTGACTCCAATTGTACCAGTTGAATTAAACATCGATTAAACTACTTCAACAAGTACTGTCGAGTTCGAATTGACGTCGTCAAATTGACATTAATTACAACATAGCACATAGTAATTCAACATACTCATTTCTCGGGGATGTAACTGAATTGAAGTCAGCACACCATTCCGCTCTAATAAAATAGTTCCGACATCGATCGACGAATTGTCTCCCACAGGGTATACGTGCTGGTCGAATACCGACGTGTATTTAAAGCGGGAGAGGCGGGAGAGGCGGTCTCGACTGAACCACTGTGCTCGGCTGTTCTTTTCGGCCGCGTTTCGCGCCGATTTTTATCGAGAAATGGGTGAAAATGTGCAAGGAACGTTCGTGTCCGAGAAGGTTTCCAAGATAAGGTGGCAGTGTGGGAATTTCGCGGAAGCAAAGAACTTTTTAACCGGCAGTTGGGACAACCCGGTAAGATTTCTGCCGGACCTAACCTAGAAATTTGTTTTAGATGAACGTACACCCGGTTTTAAGTACACCCGGTCAGTGTGTACTTAAAACTTTGCATATTTATTTCATTAAGTACGCGTGTTGACGAGTTAAAACGCGATCTCCAATTTTTCCTACGCAGGTTAATAAAATAACATACTGGACATTTGGGACGAATTACGACGACGAACCGTATCCTGTAGTCCAGTCGTCGTACTCATTTCTCGGGGATGTAACTGAGTTGAAGGTAGCGCGCCGTTCTTTTCAAATAAAAGTAATTATCTTGCAACCTAAGAATTAATGGATTTTCAGTTTATCAGCAAGGATTTTTTCGTCGCTGCCTCGTCTCTGGGCTCGATAAGACTACTGCAAATCGACGAGGACACCTGTACCGAATTCAAGGAGCACATGGCATGGGAGTTCATTCATAACTTTAAGTGAGCACGCTTGGTTGAATGAATGTGCGCTGAACTTTGAAGTCAAAGTATTAAGCATTGTATTCTTACCGATGCATTTTTACAGAACGACGGATTATGCCTCTTGCACTGCGTTGTCCACCTTTGAGCAAGACATAGCTTCAGTAGGGGAGGACGGGAGGCTTAATCTTCTTACGGCTGCTGAGAAGAAACCAGTTAGAGTTATTGGTAAATGTCCACGTAACATACATGTTTGTAATGCACGGTTCGATTATTGCAGTTAGATATTTATTGCTTATTTTCTTCTCAGAAAATGCTGACAGCTGCTCCATATATTGCGCCGATTTCTTGAAGCACAATGAAGTACTTACGGGAAATTCGAGAGGGCACATGAAAGTTTGGGACTTGAGAAACGATCGAGACGTACCCGCAACTACTTTCATGCTGTCCGATCAAGTTAAAGTAAGTTTTGTATTATACTTTTTACTGTAACTCCAGTATATGAATATTTAATCCTGTTAATTAATAAGAGAATACGGCTCTGAAGAATAAAAATCAATGAGTAAAAAGGGGCTAAGAGCCTTGACTAGGTGTTAGTGTCAAAAGGTAAAAATTTTGTTTATTAAAACATAAAAATTGCAAACGTTTCGGTCTTTAGACCATCCTCAGTGTATAAATATATAAAAGAGTAAAAGGAAATAATTTAAATGTAAAAGTCAATGATTAAAATTCGCTCGCAATGCAATATATAAGAAAGATGTAAAGTGTGAAAGTAAGCCAATCGAGAGATCATCTTTTCGTCGGGATATAAGTTTTGGAGTAATCAAGCTGGTAAATGTCGACTGGTCGACCCTTTAACTAAGTCTGACGAAATCTTACGGGCTTCATAAAGTGTTGAATGATTTTGCAGACTGCAGCTACAAGTATTACGCATCATCCCACACAAAGGCACATTGTGATCGCCGGTGGAGACGACGGCAGTTTAACCGTGTGGGATTTAAGGCGGAACACCTATCCAATGTCGCAGCTCAATGCGCACACCAAAGCTGTCAGCGAGATACTGTTCCATCAAGACAGACCTGACAATCTCTTCACCTGTTCCGTCAGCGGAGAATTGTGGCATTGGAACAATGCGCAAAGTTCGAAACTGAAACTCGGAGGTGAGTAACTCGAAAGCAATTCGTCGGTAAGTTAACTTATAAGATGCAAATGAAGAGTTGAGTCTAATGTTCTCTGTTTTTGTACGATACTAGATTCTGCGGACATGCACTGGTTGAATACAATTGGTACAAATGGCAAAGTTAACGTGACCTCAATGTGTGCCGCTATGCACAAACCGATAAACAGTATCGATATCAATCGATCGTCACTGCTCTTTGGATGTGACAATGAGGCTATGTATATTGTTAGAAATGTACTTATTTAATAGTAATGTATGTATACATTAGTTTTTGATATCTTTATTACACTTGAAATAAATTCAAAATCGTCATCTTTTCTGTATTAATTAGCATCATTTATTTTTCCGACAATGTACATACGACTTTTCTGTCTGTACTGTATGTATACGAGTAAAATTTATTTTTCTTTAATAACTTCAAGACAAAAACTTGAAACTTCTTGTCTTCGGAGTATAAGATAGCCATTCTGCTCAGGCCTTTACTTTTTGACACTTATTTGATTTGCTGGTTTAATATAGAAACGTTCTATGATGCGACCGTTGGAGATAGAAAAAAGGCAAGTAGAAACTTGTGCAAAATTTATTTACAGAGAAATCAAACTAAGCATTTACTAGTATAGTGTGGCATCTTTCATTTTATGTCGATTGATTAATTTCTCTGTTCTTAACTGTACTTAGCTGCACTAGTTCAGAGCTTATCTTTTTCCCTTTACGTTGGACAGAGAAAGATAAATTTTGAGCTAGTACACCTGAGTGCAGGTTCGTCAGCTAAAAAACAACAGACTTTCTGTTACATAAAAATTTCGTTGTTTTCTGTAACAATAAATGTCATAAGAACTATTCGCAGATTATTAAATTCTTTTCAATTGCATTTCAAACGTGTTCATCTGAAATACAAACGATTGCATAAAGCAGTTATTTAAAAATACGTAAATTTAAGGTCGTACGACAAAGTTTTTAAGCGTATTGATTGGCTGAAGGATAGTAAAATTCTCGAGTATCTAGAAACTTTCTATTCAGCGGCCAATCGACGCGCTTGAAAAATTTGTCGTACGACAAATGTAATAGTACCCTTAGTTTCGAGAAATGTGTAGCCAATCAATTTGCAGCTTTTATGAAACTCTGTGCAGGGGAGCGATCGCGTGCACGATCGAATTCGGTCGACTTCTCATACGTCTCTACTCTACAGGTTTCAGGGTGGA